ATGGTGAAGGGTATATAAGATTCGGCAAAGGCGAATATAGACTTCTTACTTGTTTGTTTTGTTTCTGTTATTCCTCTAATTATATAGAACATTATTCAAATATACAGTGTTTTTTCGAATTTTTGAACTTTGGTGTTAAATTGTTACCAATTGCCTAAAAGGACTATATACCAGTCATTCCAGTAATTTTTGGTAAATACGGCCGACAAATAAATAGTATTTCGATATGGTACACTAAGAATTCCCCAATATTATAAAATTTGACTTTTGAACTCCACAGTTTATGGGTGAAGAATGTCCGATTATAATAAAACTCCGGTTATATATTTTATTTTATCTGGACTATAATACTCAGAAAATACTTTATTTACAGGGTACAACAGTAAAGATTTAATACATATTCTCTAAAATATTACAAAAAAATGCGATTTTCCCGAAATCCGCCGAGTTCAAATCGTAGGTACAGCTAAACTGTAAGAAATATTGATCTAATTTTTTTACCGTTTAATAGCCTTATCTATTTTCAATAAATCACCATGAGACCTCCTAAAAATTTTGAAATTTCTTTAACAGAGTTTCAAAAAAACTGAAATTGGAGATTTAAAACGGGCGTTGAAAAATTCTAACTTTTTTGACCATAGCAAGTTTGCGTGTTCTTATAAGGACAAAAACTAATATTCGAATAATTATAGATATATTTTAAGTAACAAAATGGTTTTTTCAGAATACATATATCCCAAAAAAAGACGTTGCGGCGCCTGTTAACATTATCCTATCAACCTAATTTTTTGTATGACATAGTTTTACAACCCAAAGAACAATTCAAGAGGGGGGCCGTTCTGTCTGACGATTTTTTTCCTTCATACAAGCTTGAAGCACTCTAATGTATATTAATTTATTTAAATTATTTTATTTCATACAATATAATTCTTCAACATATTACTTAAATTAGTATTGTGTTCAATTGTGTTTTATACAAACGTAAATCCAACAATAAATTTCATGAGGATGTCCATGTTTAATCCTAGTTCCCATATAACACAACTTTTTTAATTTAATCAATAAATAAATTGATGTCGGTCGATCATGACCGACTGTATTTTCTTACATCTTTTATATTTGTTTAAGCGTGTGTATATATTAGACTGAACGGATCTTATATGGAGAGAAAAAAATGTCGGAATCTTGTTAGTCTTAACACCACATTTAGTGCCTCAAAACAAAGCTACTATTGTACTTTATAATTTAAATTATATACATTATTCTTGTTACTTTAAGTCAAACAGAGTTATAACAGATTTTGTCTCCAAAAACGTGATAAATGTTGCTATTAGGTAAATATTTTACACATTATTCTTGAAGAATCGTTTATTATTTCAAAAGGATGTAAAGCACAAAACTTGGTTCAAAAATGTAAAAGTTATTAAAAATTTTCCAGGCCATTAACGTGTCTCAGAGCACTTGATTAGGAAATATTCTAATAAAATTATTTTATTACATAAAATATATCTATATTTACTCAAAAATAATTTTTTATCCTTAAAAGATATCGTGAACCTGTTCTCAGCTATGATAAAAAAAATAATTTTTTACATGGCGGTTTCAAAACTCCATTTTAAGGGGATTTATGGTCAATAGATTAGGGAATAAAACAGTGAAAAATTAGGTCAATACCTCTTATTGTCAAGCTGTACCTGCGATTTGAACTCTGCGAATTTAGCGAAAAACTTGTTTTTTGTAATATTTTATTTTCCTTGTTGTTATTTTAAATATCGAACCATATATTTTTATTCCTGTAATTTTAGAAAACATAGCGAACAAATAAATAATATTTCGACATGTTTTAATGAGAATTTCTAAATATTGCTAAATTTGACCTTTGACCTCCAAAGTTTACGCCTTAGGATTTTCCAATTTATATATAACTTCAGGGACATATTTTATATTATCTAAGAAATAATATTTTGTAAATATTTTGTTTAAAATGTATAACAGTAAAGGTATTTTCAGACTACAATACTGAGTATTAACACACTTCAAATTAAAAATATTATGAAAATAATTCGCATTTTCAAAAAATCAATCCGAAAAATACATTTTATGTTTACACTATAATATTTGTAACATTTTTTATCCAATTTTCAATTATTTATGCACTTTTCGTTCTTATTTTTAATGTATTTTACAATTTTTGTTTGTTTTTTATTGTATTTATAAAATACATCCCGAATACGTTTGAAAATAAAAAGTTTTTGAATTGTTTTAAAAAATTTATGAATACCGACCGTATGCCAAAAAAATCAGTAATATTTTTGAAAATCAAATTACAAATTATATTTAGACTAGTAAATTGTATTATGATACAAACATTTTTGACAAGTATTAATACTCAGTATTGTAGTCTAAAAATACCTTAAAGAATAAGGACACATTTTGTAAAATATTACAAAAAAATAAGTTTTTCGCGAAATTCGCAGAGTTTAAAACGCAGGTGCAGGTTATCTATAAGAGGTATTGATCAATTTTTTCACTGTTTTATTCCCTAATCTATTGACCATAAATCCCCCGGTGATATTTCAAAAATTTTAAAATTTGTTTAACAAATATTTAAAAAAAATGAAAATGAAGTTTTGAAACTGCCGTGTAAAAAATATTTTTTTTATCATAGCTGAGGACAGGTCCACGATATCTTTTAAGGATATTCGAGTAAATATATTCGAGAAAATATATATAAATAAAATAGTTTTATTAGAATATTTTCCAAAATAAGTTAATTTTTTTGAAATTTGTTCGTTATAAACGAAGTTCGTAATAAACGGGTGAAGTTTTTGTAATTCCAAAAATAAAGAGGCATTATACGAAATTTTAATAATATGATTTATAATTTTATGTAGTATTATTCACAAAAAACTGCATTGATTTTATTTGTTTATATTTTTTAAAAACAAATTGAAGTTTTTTTCAACAAAGCAAAATATATTCTTATGAGTTCAACATATAATTTTGAAGTTCGTTATAAAAAAGGAAAATTGTATGAAATTGTAGTAGAGGGACTGAAAAAGTAGTTCGTTTTATACGAGGATTCGTAATAACCGAGTTCGTTATAAGAGATGTTTTTTGTATGAAAATAGTTACCAAAATAGCGGGACTTGAACACTTTTTCGTAATAACCGAGAATTCGTTATAACTGAGTTCGTTATAAGCGAATTTGACTGTATGTATATAATATAATGCTATACGCACAATTGGGACGAACGACGAATTTTTCGGAACGAATTTTCGTCGTCACATATAGAACACACTAAAGTTTATGAAAATACACACAACCAGTGCGTACGACGAAATTCGTCGTATATTTGGTTAGAAAATACGGTCACCCCAACCAGTTATATAGCTGTAAACAAAAATTATTTATTTGAAAATTAAGAAATTTGAATAATAATTTGTTTGTAATCTAAAACAAAAAAGTGCAATTTTCCTGCAGAATATGCGGTTAAAAACAAACACAAAGAAAAGCAGAGAACTGAAAGCAAGATTCGCAGTGCGTAAAGTTTTATTGTGCTCCAATCGACGAATTTACGCAACAATTTTTTGTGCAATCGTTCGTCGTGCTAAGCAAAATTCGTCGTTCGTCCTAATTGTGCGTATACCATAAATTGAAGTACAATATTAGCTTTGTTTTGAGGTACAAAGTGTGTTTCTATTATTTACCGTTCTGGAGTTATAGCTTCAAATGTTAGCTTTTTGTCCAAAAATTTTGATTTATTCAAACTTTGAGCGACGAGCGGCACGTGTTAACGTTTATTAATCGAGCTCAAATTTCGACTATCTTAATATCTGGAAAGGGGAATTATTTTGTGGGGCTAAGACGAACAAGATTCCAACATCTACTTTTTGCGGTCACTCTAGTATATACATATGTATATTTTCAACGGATTAACAGGAACACATAAATATCACGAAGGAAAAAAATGTAGCGTTCAACATGTCGCGTTCGAACATGATTAAAATTAAATTTAAAAAATAATATATAAATAATATTTTGTAAAATTTTAACCATTTTAAGGAGACAACTGATGATTCCCATTGAAATACGACCTCACGTTTCGCTGAAATCGACAATTGAATTGTTGCCCAAAAAACAACTTCTATTTTTGTAGCATTCGAACACCATGATTTTTTGCAATTATCTTTGAAATTAACAATTGACCAAAATCAAACTTAGCACCAATTATAGAACTAATTAAAAGCTATAAGTAATGCCTCTTGCTAAAATAAAACTTTTATTTTGACATTTTTATCACTCTAAATGTTTTCGACTGTCGCGTTCGAAATTTTGGAAATGCCCATACATAATTTTCTATTTTGTTTTATGAATATTTTGGACAAAATTTTATCTGAAAATTCGTCTATGTAAGAAAATATAATTTTCTAAATATTTTGTCCAAACTAAAATATTACATGTTTACGTAGGTGATTAATACATGCTAAGTACACTTAGACGACCAATAGCCAATATTTTCTCCGTGCTAAAACAACATTCTATGTAATTTTTAGCTATGATCCCATTAAAATTTGTAAATTCAGAATGGAATAAAGAATATAGTATATAGTATATTATACAGTTTACGAGATATCGCATGAAAACTTTGTGAGCTCAAACCTCACTTTTTCGACTTGGAATGTTATAGAATTGAGGGGTCGATATGTGTACTAAAATCAAGGTTTTCAATTGCTGGTAGGGAACAATTGTTTGAGAGGCATTCCTACAAAAAAGTGGTCCTCGGGACACCCTAATGTACATATGTACATTTATAATTCACTTTTGTTTAAAATTATATATAATATGTATTTAAATTTATTATATTATCTTTTTATAATATGTATTTTTATATTAATTATAAACTAGACATCTTTATATTTTAATATTATACATAATAATTCTTTAAACACTAACTTTACACAACTTTACAAATATTTTACATTTTGCTGCACACCAGAGCAAGGAAGCAGGGATTCGAACCCTTGTAGCTCTCGATGATCAGGGAGGTGAGTTCACTTTTTACACTTTACATTAATTACTTTATATACCTTAATAAATAATTTTAATAGACATAATTCTTAATTTTTACTACAGAATACCAACAATTAACCACTTAACTATAATAAAAACTTTTATATTGTCACCTAAAATGCAAAAGGGCGTAACACATTTTAAAAAATTTTCAGGAAACACAAAATTCTAAATAAAATGAAAACTATTGTTGTTACAAAAACTTTTTACGACTTTTCGACTTTTTTCGCCTTTCTTCGACTTTTTTCGACTTTATTCGACTTGACTTATAGACTTTTCGACTTTCAGTCTTTTCGATTTTTATTAACAAAGTCGACTTTTTTCGACAAAAAGTCGATTGTTCGATTATTCGAAAGTCGATTTATAAAACCCTACTGTACCGCCAGACATTGTGTATTATGTTGATTTTTAAGATTTGTGGAAATGACTTGTTTTTTTTTTTTTGTTGTTACGCCCCACATTGGTATTTTTTGGAAAAAAGTTTATTTTCGACAGTTAATTCTTAGAACTCTAATGATGCAATTCTTTAGAAAAATGTTTCATTAAGGGAAAGTCATGATTTGTTTTCGAAAAAAATAATATTTTGTCTAAAAAAAAGTGTGGACAAGTTACTTAAATATTCGACATCGAAAACTGATGAAAATTTTCATGCATTTCAGTAGCATGTACAATGAATATGGTTTAACTACCAATAATTTTGTAGCGTTATTAAAACTAGAGTTCGCCCCGCGGCCGAAATTCGACCGGAACCATTGAAGTAAAGATTGCATACTTATACTGCAAAATAAAACCCTACTTTTATAGTCCAAATGTCTGAAAAAAATTATTTCAATTGCTATTATCAAAGCGTATAACTTGCTTTGATCAACGTATTCTTTAAGAAAATGTGATCAAATTTGGTTAAAATTCTGAAGGAAGTTTAAAATCTGAGTTCTAAGTATTTTTCAAAAATATCTGAACTTTTTTAAAAGCAAAAACAACGAACATTTCTCCTCTCAATTTATTATCCCCTACATAAATGTTCATAAAATCTATGCAAAACTTACAATATGATATATTCATTCCTTACAATATGATATTTCCCTATGTTTAACAATCTGCCAATTCCTCCAGCAATCATCCATGCCCCTTGTCGTAAACAATGTCGAACATGCCCAGCACTATTCCTTTGTAACCTGTAATAATATTCAACCTATATCTCTATATCCCAGAAAAAAAAAAGAAAAGACCTACAGAAGTGTTGATTTTAACACATATTATTTATAGGCGGAATGTCTCTTTTATTTGATTTCAAATTCATTACTGCTGAAGTCATTCTCAAGAATTAATTATACCCTACACCACTTTAGTGGGGAGTGTATATTGGATTTGTGCTGATGTTTGTAACATACAAAAATATTCGTCCTAGACCCACCTTAAAGTATACCAAACGGCTTAGAATCGTTTTCTGAGTCGATTAAGCTATGTCCGTCCGTCCGTCCGTCTGGCTGGCTGGCTGTCCATGTAGACCTTGTGCGCAAGGTACAGGTCGCAATTTTCAAGATAATTGGATGAAATTTGGCCTATTGAAAATGGTTAAAATCGGTCCATTATTTCACCTAGCCCCCATACAACAGAACCCCCCGAAAAGGGCTTCTGAGCTCATAATTATGTTAAATATACAGATATATCGATAAAATACGGCACAACTAAGTTTTATAGAAGTCTTGATGACCCTGCCAAATTTCATAAAGATCGGGCCACATTTGACCCTAGCTCCCATACAAAGTCCCCTTCAGAAAGTTACTTGAATGTCCCAAATTAACTTATAAACACAAATATCGCGATGAAATTCAGCACAATAAAATATTATGTCAATATAAATATATTCACAAAATTTTATCGGGCTTGGTCCATATTTGCCCCTAGCCCCCATATAAAGCCTCTTTCAGAAAATTAGTTTTTCATCCATAAATTGCTTAAATGTATCGGAACAAGGGAATATTGAAGATAAATGCTTTATTATGAAAAATAAATCACATTTAATATTCATAAGTGGTGTAGGGTATCATATGGTCGGCCACGCCCGATTATAATTTCTTACTTGTTTTTATAATATATTTTTTATAGTTTATTGGAAGTGAAATTGTAATTCTTTACTTTACTCTTGTTAAGAGGAATCAAAAAAGTACAAACCCCTAAAAATATTTTCAATAGTGTTACAGCCCTATTGAATTCGAAAAATTATGAAACTATCAAAATTTGTTTTCAGTTTTCTTTAGCTGACAGATAACAAAAACAAAAATAGATTAAAATTCTCAAGAGCGCACAGAATCCAAACCTATTACCTTTTTTCAAAACTGGACATATATTTTGTAACTATGTATGTATTTCCGCAGAAGGTAGACTTGAAGTAGTCCTTCAAAAGTACATTACAAAATATGATCTAACAAAATTTTATTCAAAATTCAATTTTTCAATTATTGCTATCAGGACTGTAAAATGATTTCATTCCGATCAAAAGTGGAATTTTTTTTACGTGTTTTTGTTTTTAGAATAAAGTAAAAAGATCTTTTTTTGGAATGAAACCACTTTCAATTTTTAAAGTGAGATCTTTTAAATTATTGTTTTTTTTTTAAGTTTTAATAAATATCTTTACTAAAATAACTCCATTTTAGATAGGAATGGGCATTTGGAACAGTGATATATATAGTATATATTATCTCTATAAGAAATAAATAAATTTTGCTGTCTTTAGTATAAAAAGTCCATCCTTCTGGTTTATGTTGTATAAATTCTCCCTTATAACACCCGATAAAGACTTCTTTCCGCTGACTTACTACCTATTTGGCTTAAATTTAAATGTTTTTTTAATAGAATTTAATAGCAGATATTCTATGAAGCTGTACTACTCATAGGCCTTTATGCGAAGACCTTTCAATAGGCATTCTATTAGCTTTCTCATAGAAGTGCATAGGCAAGAGAGATTTTGCAACAGGGATAAATTCTTATATCTGGAGAATAAGACTTTAACGCCTCTTTACTTCAAGACTTTGTCCATGATTTAGTTATTATTTAATTTTTCACAATTATTTAAGTACTTCATAAGAAATGTTTGAAAGAAAACGTTAATAAACTATAAATTCCATCCTTAATTAACATATGTATGTTTAATTGCAAGTAAAAGAATAATAAACGATAAAGGTGGTATTAGACGACATGTATTTTACTCTAATACCACCTTAAGTAGGGGCAGTCATCAACCCAGATATCTACACAAACTACAGTTTTAACCTTACACTACTATTTCTATAACCGCCTTTTTCGTTATTGGTTAGAATAATCCGAAAAAGAAGAATATCATCAAATCCTCACAGTGCTAAACCTACGTATTAGCGATATACTGATTCATTCATGTACCGACATGACCAACTAAACTATCCTACTTACATTTATTTTAACAGGCTTTGTTTTCGTCCATCATTAAAGTTTACAAAAATCTTATTAAAAACAACAACAAAAAATATCATTGCAAAATACAAAAATAAACCATCAACAGAGAAGTAACATGTTTTTACACTCTCCTCTCTTTTATGAAAAAACAGTGTTGTTGTTTTGCTTTCTTATTTTGTTTTCTATTTTTTAATTCAAGCACATGTTTGTGTGATTGTGTATTGGTAGAAACTTTAAACGCTTATATTTCCGAAAATACTAAACCGATTTTGATCATATATAGATTCTGCAGTGAGGCTCGCGAATCTACATTCATCAAAAAAAGAGTCAAGAAAATCGGTCAAGTAATAGAGCCGGAAAATGTTCCCAATTGTTTTGGCTTTGCGTATTTATATATATGATCAGTGTTGCCACTTTGGTTATTATTAACCAAAATTGGTTATTTTTATTTTGCATGTGTACATGTGAATTATTTTTTCGTTTTGGTTATTTTTTGCAAAGAATTGAACTAAATGCTGTTTGCTTTTATTCTAAAAATAAAATTAAAAAAAAACTTCTTTTATCTCTAGTTTTAAATCAACTATGTAAATATACATATCGTCCTGTTTTGAATTTTGATAATATGTGGAATTTTTTTTTTACTATTCGAAATTTTTTATTACTGCAATTTGTGCATCTACTGGTTATACTTATGTACACAAAGGTATTTTTCGATATCTTAATTGGTTAGGATTTAGAGAAAGTACCTATGAGCTTTCCACATATTAAATGAGTTGATTTAAATCATAACAACACCGTAATATTATTTTATTTACACTAGTTAATCTAACACCTAACATCGCGATACTTATTTGAAAAAACGAAGTAAGCTGTATTTCGCATTTCGATTTTTATGAAATTTGGTGGAAATAGTCTACGTACTTAGTAGATTATGTCCTCCAAATTAAATTTAAAATTTAAAGATACTGTGCTAATTTGCCGAAATTCTAAGATAAATGATTTAATAAGAATTAATAAAGTATTTTCCGCTAATTGATGCAAGAATAGTATCACAATATCTTTAAAGTATTAATCAACTGATATTTTTAAGTAACACAGCTAAGGAAAATGAAATTGTATTGTATACAAAAGTTGTAATAACATCTAAACTCGTACGACGAACAATAATCGCGATATATGCAAAGATTTGATACTCATGATATTTGACTTCTACTATCTCACCATAACTTTTAGTTCTTTATTTACATTTTCTAGATGATGTTGTATACTAGTTTTTATTTTACTGTCTTAAATTCTAAATTTTGGTCAATTTGACGGATAATTTGGATAGATTACGTTTACAAATATTGCTGAAGTTATGAATGTAATGCTAACATCCGCTACATGGTATTATAATTTAAACCCAAATTTCGCACGAAATCTCCAAATCTGTACATAAAATGGGAAGAATTTAATAATTTAAAATTGTTTTCCAAAAAGTCATATGTGGAGTTTTTTTTGAATTGCGCTAAAACGCGTTAAAAACTCAGTTATATTTTAAAAT